CTTGTGTACTCTGGCCATGTTTTCAGGAGAGACCAATCCCTGGAGAAGGACATCCTGCTTGGGAGAGTCGAGGGGCAGGGAAAAGAGGAAGACCCTTGACAACATGGACTGACACACTAGCTGCAACAGTGGGCTCTGTGTTAGGCCAGGTTAACTAGAGCAACAAATCCAGGGACACTCATTTAGGTGTAAGAGAGAGCTTTATATCAAAGAGTAATTATATATTAAGAAAACATCCCAGCCCAGTCCACATCAAGTCCATAAGTTCAATATTAGCCCATAAGTCTGATACATAAATCTCTTTTCAGACTCATGCAGCACATGCAATGATGCAAAATACAGGAAGATCACAGGCCATTGGGTACAAAGTCTTGTGGATCCAATGGTGGTGGAAGCAGCTTCAGGGCTCTTGCAAGTCTCAGCATAGCTCCACATGGCTTGTCAACAGGAGGGTGAAAGCAAAGAGAGAGAGTGTGGCCTACCTCCAGGGAGGAAAAGAGGAAATTCCCAAAATCCTCATGAAGGTCACATCCACAAGGAGGCATCATCAGGCTGTGACCTGATTGACAGGCTAGACTCCACCCCTACACTTATTTATCAAGTTGACATGAAATTGTATAACTACCATAGGCTCAAACATAGGAACACTGCTGAGGATGGTGCAGAACAAGGCAGTGTTTCATTCTATTGTGCATAGAGCCCTATGAGTCAGAACAAACTTGATGCCAACTCACAACAACAGACACAACAAATCATAAATCTAGATCCCTATAGATCTAGGAAACATTAAGCAATTAATGAAAGCATATTGTGAGCAACTGTAGTATGCCAATGATTTTGAATAACATTTTAAATAAAACGTACAATTTCCTAGGAAAATATTTGTCAAAGTAGACACAAGGAAAAATAGATGTTTAAATATGAGGGGGTACCAAAAACATACCAGATTTTTTTCAAAGCTATGTATTTAAATGTTTTATGAAACAACCTTATTACCTTCAAAGTACATGTAATACATTTAATAAAGTACATTTAATACATTTACTTAATCCTTTACACTTAATACATTTGTCAAATCTGCAATTCCATTTTTCGAAACATTTTTCAAACTCATCTGTTTGGATGGCTGACAGCTTCTCCCTCGTTTTTTCCTCCCTCGTGTTTTCCTTTACCTCACTCTCCTTTCATGTCCCTCTTCATTCACTGAAACAAAAAAGTTGCATGGAGTGAGGTCAGATGAGTAAGGTACGTGGGGCAAGAGAGGCATGCTGCTTTTTGCCAAAAACTGGTGCACTGCAATGGCTGCGTGAGCAGGTGCATTGTTGTTGTGGAAAAATTGGTCCAATGTCTGCACAAATCAGGCCTTTTTTGTTGCACACCATTATCCTAGTTTTTCAGAATCTCTACATAGAAAGCTTGATTAACAGTCTGGCCTGGTGGAACAAACTCCAAATACATTACAAGCAAACATTTTCATCTGTTCAGGAAGTTGACGGACATCCAGAATGAGGTTTGTCATCAATTGACATTTCACCTTTTTCTAAATGAGAAAACAACTTGTACACTTGATTTTTTCCCAAAGTGCTGTCCTTGTGAGCTGTGAACAACATCACAACAGTTTCTGTGGCATTTTTCCCAAGCAGGAAACAAAATTTCACAACTGCGTGCTGTTCTCTTAAATCAGCCATCACAAAAATACCAAGCCGAACAAAACAAAAAACAAGGTTCGAGAGAACCTGCTTCACAAACTATTCTCTCTGACCAGAGAGAACCTTCCCAGGTGACACCACTGGGTGCACTACCTCAGAACAAGTTGCTGGATGCTTACCTAGCCCCCCAGCCAAAAAAAAATGCATGCTATGAATGCTCCACCAAGCAGAGCTTTTTCTGTTTTTTTTTTTTTTTGGGGGGGAGTACCCCCTTGTAGTCTTCTATTTAAAACAATTTAATCTGGAAATGTTAAATTTCCCACATGTACACAATAAAACTTTGGGCACAGATGGCTTATCCAGTGAATTCTTCATATATAAAGAAAGAATTACACAAATATTACATGAACTTTTCGAAAGGAAAAATGAAGGAATATTTTTCAAAGTTTTTTTTAAATTTATAAAACAAAGTCAGCATAGTCTTAATATCAATATTATCAAAATATCTTAGGAAAAAATGAAAAGTATAAGTGAAGTCATGGGTAATATATTGCTGTTGCTAGCTGTGGACTAGCTGTTGGGTTGAGTCCACACCAACTCGCAGCAAGCTTATGTAATGGAGTGAAGCTTTGCTTGATCTGCACCATCTTCACGGCCACGGTCTGCTCGAGTCCACTGTTGTGGCGATTGTGTCAATTCGTGTCTTAGTTTCCTTTAGTTTCTGTTTTTGTGGATTATTATGTTTAACCATTTTATTAGGGGCTCATAAAACTCTTTGTTGTTGTTGTTTTTTGGTTTTTTAATCGTTTTATTAGGGGCTCATACAACTCTTATCACCATCCATACATACATCAATTGTGTAAAGCATATTTGTACATTCGTTGCCCTCATCATTCTCAAAACATTTGCTCACCACCTAAGCCCCTGGCCTCCACTGCTCAATTTTCCCTTCCCTCCCCACTCTCCCCTCCCTCATGAACCCTTGATAATTTATAAATTAATATTTTGTCATATCTTGAATTTGAATTGTGGTGTTGGTGAAGAATGCTAAATATTCTAGGGACCTCCTGAAGAATTAATAAATCGGATTTAGAAGAAATAAAGTCAGAATGCTCCTTAGAAATGTAAATGGTGAGACTACATCTCCTTTACTTTGGACAGGGCATTATGTCGGGTAAAGCAGCGGTCAAAGAAAGAGAAGGAAAACCTCAGAGAGATGGACAGACACACAGAAGCCATACCAATAAACTCAAATCTATCAGCAGTCATGGAGATGGTACAGGCCCAGGAAACCGTTTGTTCTGCTCATCATGAGCTAGAGCCCACTTGGTGGAAACGAAAAGCAGTAAAAGTATGGTGTGTCCATGTCTGTTCCACTGGCTCTGTGCCAACAGAAGCAAAAGAAGATGTAGATGTTTTAATAAATACTGCCCATGTAGCTATTGTGCTTGTTTCGACGCAGGGTTCTTGGTCTCAAGAACTGAAGAAGGTGCGCAAGTACCACAAATAGGTAGCAGAAAACAAGGTTTATGTCAAACGTAAGGAGAGCATCTGATGCTGCAGCTGGTGACCTGCCCGAGCGGCTGCAAGCTGTGGAAACAGCTCTGTCCGGGTGTTAAGTGGGGTAAGTGGCCTGTTTGTGCCTCCGGGGTACGATTGGGCCAATCCCAGGTCTGGGTTATGATTGGGCCAATCATGACCCTGGTCATGCTCTGTCCGGTGCAAGCATGGACAAGGAAGTAAACAGGTGATGGTTCTGAAAAGAAGTCATGGATTTGCTGTGGTTGCAGTTTAAAATCAGGCTAGGAGTCAAGCCTGCTGCCTTAAAATGTATAATTCTCCTCGACTGTGGAAACCACTCCTCCAGACATCCGGCAACCCTCAGTGCTTTAAGCAAGCTCGACCTCTTTTCCCTCCCTCTGCCTGCAGGATCTTTATCTCCTCTCTTTCATAGCCACGAGGTGCAAACTGATGGACAGCAAAGTGGATCAGGAATTCTCCCAAATCTTATGTAGATGCAGAAAGAATATACTTTTTAGGATGAAATCAGTTGGCCAGGCCGATTTTGCTTCCCTGGGCTGCAAAACCAGAGAAGATTCCCATAATAAGGATGCTGTTACTGGTTCCGACTCACAGGGACCCTACGTGCAACAGAAGGCAATGCCGCCTGCTCCCGCGCCTTCCTCACAATCGCTGTTATGTCAGAGCCCATTGTCGCAGCCCCCGTGTCCATCCTCTCATCCAGGCCTTCCTGTTCTTGGCTCCCCTTTCACTTTACCAAGCATGAGGTCCTTCTCCAGGGTGTGGTCGCTCTAAAAGTCAGGATGAAAACCGAAAACCAACTTCCCTGTCGTGGAGTTAATGGGGGGAACTGCGCCTGACAGTTTCTAGACTGTCATTGTTGACCGGAGCAGAAGGGCCCTCACTGCAGCCCGAGCTAGCAGCCCAACGTGTAAACACCACACCACCACAGCCCCCCAAAGTGTTGATACCCCAAACTCGAATGGTAGACCTTGGAGGTAGTAGCCAAATGTGAACCACTCACTCACACTCACTCACTCACTCACTCACTCACTCACTCACTCACTCACTCACTCACTCACTCACTCACTCACTCACTCACTCACTCACTCA